TCAGTCAGTCAGTGAATTGACCTCTTTACCTTGTAGAAGACCCTTTGTTCATGAGCTGAAACGTCGGTACTGCTGAATTACCTGACTGACCATATTTTTAGTTACACTCCGCCCCTTTCCCGTTACTTTCTGCGCCTTTCAGGCTCCTTTCCGCACGTTTCGCGTTCCTTTCCGCACCTTTCACGTTACTTTCCGCACCTCTAGCGTTACTGTTCGCACCATGCCCGTTAATTTTCGCACCATTTCGTTACTTTCCGCTCATTTTAAGACCCCTTCCGTGCCATTCAAGTTCCTTTCAGCACGTTTCCCGTTCTTTACGCGCCATTCTCGTTCATTTCCTCACCTTTCCCATTCGTTTCCTCATTTTTCCTTTTCTTTTCCGCACCTCTAGCGTTGCTTGCCCCACCACCAGGGTCCTTTCCACGCCTTTCCCGTTACTTTCCATGATTTTCACGCTCCTACATGCGCCTTTCCCGTTAATTTCCGCACCTTTCGCGCTCCTTTCGGCACTCCTGGCGTTACTTTCGGCACTTTTCCCCTTCCTTTCCTCACCTCTAGCGTTACTTTCATCACCGCCAGGGTCCCTTTCGGAGCCTTTTCCGTTCCTTTCGGCGACTTTGCCGTTCATTTGCCCGCCTTTCCCTTTCGCTTCTTCGCCTTTGCCGTTCATTTCCTCGAATTTCCCACTAATTTACTCGCCTTTCCCATTGATTTAATCGCCTTTCCCGTTACTTTACTCGAATTTCCCCTTTCTTTCCGCACCTTTCCCATTACTTTTCGAACCTTTCCGACACTTTCCGCACCTTTCCGATACTTTCTGCGCTTTCACGCTCCCTTCCGCGCCTTTGCCTTCATTTCCGAACCTTTCCCGTTACTTTCTGCACCATTTTCTATACTTCCCGTACCTTTCCGTTACTTTCCGCACTTTTCAAGTCCATTTGAAAGGGCGGAGTGTATGAAGTAGCAGCATTTAATGCTGATTTGATAGAAACAGTATGGCTGATTAATCGTCTGTCTGAAAAGGAACAACAAAGACGGTCATAGTTGCGAAAAATTCGACTCAACAGCGTTCACCAGTAATTCCGCTGTAATGGCCAGAATTATGTGTTTACTCTGTAGTGGTTGCCGTTTACGTTATGTATCCCATGGAGATGATCGCAGGAAGATGAGTACGAGGTTCTACTATTATTTCAAACTTTTACACTTTGATACCGCTGCTAATAGTACTATTACAAAGAATGCCGATGGTACTGCTAATACTACAGATACAAATTATATTTCCCTAATGAGTTTGGTATAAATAGCTAGTGCTGTTAATAATGATGTTACTAACACCCAATTTACATGGACCCAATCTACCGTCGCTGATACGATTTGCGATTAATAGTACGAAGAGTACCAGCACAAGTGGTTATAATATGTGTATAAACTAGCGTTATTCATACTGCTTGTAGTATGAATCTTGGTATTGGCTGTATAATCTTGCTAAAGGTATGTTAGTAATATCACTATTAGCAGTACTACTAGGATAGCTAGTATCCAATTTACATGTATGCTTCAGTAATAGCTCTTCGTAGTACTAATTTTAAATGGTAGTATTGACTAGCATTGGTGTAAATTAGATGCTAGTAACACTGCGAGTACTGTTAATACTCATATTGCTAGCAGAGTTTATATGGATGCTACAATGAATAGAATGAATTACGATTTGTGATACAAAGAGTAGTAATATTAGTATCCCAGTGAATGATATGTTCTTTATGCTTATTATTCGTTCTATTAGTATTGCTATTATTAATATTACTATGGATTTACATTAACTGATATCTGTACCCAACTGCAGTTAATTACGGTTACCTCTGCATGCATAAATATTTCTATGATTTGGTCGTTCATTTCCAAATTCTGTGTGAACCGCTGTCCGAAACGATTTCGAAGCTTCTTCTTCGATGATTTTCTTTACTCCGGCAGACCCTGATAAGTTAATTGTTTTCTTCTGAAAATTTTGTCCGCGCTGTGGATTTTACTAGTTTCGTGCGGTGACCATGTAGTTTGCTAAGCATTTTGTTCGAGCATTGGCCTTACATTACGTCAGTAAGTCGTTCATTTCGGTGATACATTGCTGCTGCTAATACGAATATTGGCAGCATTGTTACTAGTGTTAGTAATGCTACTACTCAAACAGTTACTTTTAATTTAAATACTGGTGGTATCATTACTGACACTATCACGAAAAGTAGTAATATTTCTTGTTGTAGTACAGGTTGAGTATCTCAAATCCGAATTCCGTAACATTGTATTAACTCGCTTCTCATTCCTGAGTTTTTTTTTTAAAATCTCTTAGGATAATATGAACAAGGCCGCAACGCTCTTCCCGTTCCTCTTCCCCTCAACCTTCCATCGCTAGTCGTATCTTCTGATACTCGGCCAATCAGAAAAGACCCTCACTTCATCTCTAACAAGAACCGGATGGTCAAGCGTTGTCGAAAGTTTTCTAGTCCCATTCTTGAACACACTTGGCCACGACTAATTTTGTCTGCAGGATCAAGTGGGAGAACGTCAAATACACCTTCTTTTCATGCTTACATTTTATCATGGAAACAATCCATTTCCAGCCCCTTTTCCTTCCTCAACCCCTTTCCCTTCCAACCTATGTAAGCTGTTTGAAAATGTCTTTCTGTATCTGGTGATGTTGTACTGCAGCGAAACCCGGGTCTCTTCAGTTTGTGGAGTAACTAAGTGAGTTTTTTCTTGTGATGTAAGGAGCTCGCCGCTTTCTCGAACATTTATAACTTCGCTCTCGTAACAAGCAGCCGTTTGGATAAGAACTACTGGAGCAGCTGTTTTGGACCTTAATATTTTTGTTCGAAAAAAGCAGTTTCGTTATTTTGTGTGTTCAGGTGAAGAATTTGGCTGAGAAAGCGTGTTTAATGGTTTGAATTGTTTAAGTTTTGAAATTTTGTGACCCGTTATGAGTTTTTAATCGATTCCTTATAAACAAGCTTCTACCGAATGGGAGAAAGTTCTTATGGCGGTCCCGTTTCTTAACATGGCTGTGTCACGGGTAATGCAGTTAACCGTCGAACATTGTCAGTGCGAAGTGTCTGGAATATCATGCTAAATTTTCTGTAATTCTGAATTTTTTCTTGATTATCTTCATGTCAGGCATTTCAGTATCCCGATTATCTTGGTCTCAAGCGTTTTGGATTAGGGATGTTCAGTCTGAATTACTCTTACTTGTAAGACCATTACCGATACTTTATTAGTGGCAGTTATCAATAGAACTGCTACTGCTTTTGGTGATACGAGCAAATGACTCCTCCAAGGTCAGATTTCCTGGAAAGCTGTCTAGGGCAGAGATTTCAACAGGCCACGGCTTCATGGTATATGAGTTGTGCAGTGGCAGATGCATATCACATCATTTTGACCGCTGGAGCCACATCGCGTTCATCGTGATGTTTCAAGCACTGGTACGTCAGCTGTGCTATGCAGTACGTCGTGAAATGTGGTCTTCGAGGAGTCTTTCGCTATTTGACATACTCCGGCGTACGAATAGCTTATGATTTTATACTGGTTATACTGTCGGTAATGCTATTACCAATATTTGAATTGATGGTAGTTATGCTACTATTACTAGTAGTGCTGCTACTTATACTTGTATTAGTTGTGGTAATACTACTGCTAGAACTATTTCTGCTACTTTTAATTCAAAATTGATGCTTGCATTGCTGACAAAAGCACCAATAACGGTAATAGTTCCACTAGTAGTGCTAGCACTCTTAGTCATTCTCTTGCTCTTATTTTTATTAGTAACAATGGTAGAACTCTTATAAGTAATCCAGACGCTTATGTGCCTATATTACAATGTATTTTTATAGGTACACAAAGGGTATAAGTACGAGTATTTCAGTTGTAAATACGTAGCACGTCCCAAAATATAACTGTGTTAGTTGTGTATTCATACAAGAATGGCATGTAGTATTAATATGCATGCTTGTGTATATCACTGCCTATGTTTTATGTAAATTGACCATGTGCAGATGATTGATATCATTATCTGTTGGTACAGTAGGATCAGATATATAATGGTTCGTTTATTATCATAAGCTCAACATAATGAAGTCAGTAAGCTTTCATTGTTTAATTTATATTTTATACTTATTGGGTGCTTAACTGTCCAAAACCGGATTTAAGGGCATTTTGGATTGCTGCCGTGCGTCTAGATGCTAGGAATTGTAAATAATTAATGATATGGGGCCCTTGAATTTTGTTATTTATTGTTTGATCTATGAAGAGGTTTCATCACCTCGTGCCGTTTTCAGATTTATATTTGATTTCTATATGATGTAAAATTTGTTATTTTCAATTAAAACTTGACTTTCGATCCACACTTTTCTGATTTAAATTTAAATGATGCTATGATTAATCAAGCATTAGTTAGAAATTGATGCTTTCTTGAATTGAAGGTTTATACGAATTGCACAAAGAGGATGTTATTCCTGAGCCGAAAATCGTTGCCGCTGCTCTGAGAGCATGTCGTCGTGTTAACGACTACGCATTGGCCGTTCGGTTTCTAGAAGCGGTGCGGCTAAAGTGTGGCCGAAAAGCGAATAAAATATATCCCTACGTCATTCAAGAGGTGCGGAAGCCGTTGTTTCTATCCTTCGTTTTCATGTTATTTGTGATGATGATCGAGGATGTATGATTGTTATCGATTTAAGTTGAGTTAGAATGTAGCAAATAGATTTGATTGCCGACGCATGCGACTCAAAAGCTAGGATTTAATACTGAGGTGACAGGGCTTTAGGATTTCGTTATTGTTATTAGCTGAGAATCTTCATTAGACAATTTTGTTTGCTATATATGATTACAAATCACGGTATCCATTGTTGTTGAAACCTTATTTTGTTCGATTCAACAAAATTGATGCTGTTTTGTGCCCATGCATCGTATGTGCTAAAATATTATGGAGGTGTGGTCCGTTCAAACCGTCCCCTAGGCCGCTAGCAACAAGACCACGGCTACATCATGTGAATCCGGAGAAGTGATCGAAAACATTACCTTTTTGTATTAGTATCTCTTATGTGGAAATTTTCTGAAATCCAGACCATGTTTATATCTTTGCAGCTGTCCGGAGCACACCAAAGAAAATTCTGTTAATGTGAGAAAAAATGACGATAAGCCAGTTGCAAGACAATCATTTTTTCATGATGCAGACTTTTAAGAAAAACGTTTAGATAAAGTGGTTCATGGGCCGTTTCCAGTGGAGTGGATTGGTTTTGCGTATAAGTCTAGTGCTCCCATTTGAGTTTTACAAACAAGAAGTATAGTAGTGATTCCGCAGTAACTTTCCCTGGTTTTCTCCACCAGTATCGTTGCATGAACTGCATCAATTTTTGTTAATGTTAAGGGGCAAGTGATCAGCTGGACAGCATGGCGTACTGTTTTCCTGTTTTTGAGTCTGAAAGGCCAACATTGGTCTGATGCTCAGCTCATTCACCGTTTTCAACGAAGAAAGTACTAGAAGTTATATTTTTTGCCGTATTCAATTTTTAGCAAACTTTTTAGCGACCATGACAGCGTTCAAACAACCTTACCCGGTTTTTGGACCACAGCACACATATGCAATAACGCATTAAAACACGCTAATATATCACGTCCTTGTGATTTGGCTATCTGATAAGTGCCCTTTCCATAATTTTCCACCAGCAGTCTTCCGTCAAGAAAATGATTATTGCCGGTTGTCATTTGGAGGCTATTAGACGGTTAGTTAGCTAACGATTTATAGGAGTGTTGGTACACATACAAGGATCTTTTGCAACATTGGATTACGGTTCCTTTGTGAATCAAAGGTAGGTCTCTTTCTGTTTGTGCGGGTGGATTGTTAAGACGGTACTGGCGCAGGTAGGAAAGAAGGGCACTGACCTGAGGATAACAACGATAGAACTTACTGTGCTCATGTTTTTTTCATAGTCTTTACCCCCTCAGCTTAGAAACTAAATTTGGAGGCTTAAGGTCAGTGTCGAGCACCCGGTTTTCGCAATGACCAGCATTATTTTCATGAGCTTAAGTGTCTACGCATCGCCAGCAAGATTTCTCTCATGCAGGTGACGCTGGTTTCCTTCTTACGCTTTTTGGCAAAGTTAGTCTTAGTATCACCATTTTGTGCACCAAATTTTTTTAAAAATTACCTTAATTTTTCACTCGTACTTTTGCCTCTGTCTTTATTGGGGCTTCACGTGATAAACATATTTTATTTGTTGTATAATTGCTAAGTTTCTATTTCAAACCATTCTTTTGCTCATCCATACTTTGGCTTGGATTGACTTAGCATTTTTGTTTTTCAGGTGCGGCCTGTTTTGGATGAACTTGGAATTAGCACACCTGAAGAAATGGGCTACGATAAGCCAGAGTTGTTTTGGCCGTCTTCCTCCTGGTGGCCTGAGGAGTACTATGAAATTTACAACATCCCAAAATACAGTTATTGCCCTTATTATAAATAAATAAACTCTTATCATCCGCTAGAAATTTTGCCTTCCGCCGACTAAATCTAGTCGACAATGATTTGCGGCGTTTTTAACCGCTTTATCGCTTTTTTACTAATAGTTGTTGCTCACCTCAGAATAATTTTAATTACTTATTAACTGATTTTATATTTTGTCGTTTGTTGTTAAATGTAAACCATTGCTTGCTTTTTTGCCTGTTTTGACAAGAGACTCTTGCTGTTCAACTAGAATTTTCTCATCTTTTGTACAGTTTATTTTCGTAATAAACTGTATTTGACTGGATTTCCTACAATTGCCAATATAAGAACATGTACCATTTTTCAAGTCAGATTTATTACTGTAATAACTGCTATTTACTTTTCAACAAAGATAATAGTGTGGATTTAAGCGATGGTCAATGTCCGTATGAAATGGATGACATTGACAAACCTTGAAGGTGGTTGACCATTTGGTTTTCATTGCACATTGATAACTAATCAGCACGTAATACGTTCGGGTGGCGATGAATGGACGAGACCAGTCTGTGAGGTAGGTACCCTGCTAGCTTGATTGTACTAAAACTAAGGAAGTATGCAATTGATTGTCATTGCAGTTTTCTGTCACCGACGAAACGTGGTCATTAGACACATCGAAAATGGTATTGAATATCAGTGTCAGATGTCATCTCCGTTCAAGTAAGTGCTGACGTAAACTAACTAATCTAGAATACAATAGTGTCTTCGGAAATTCTTTTTGATACACTAACGAAATTTAAATTCTTCACCTAATCAACAGAATTGGCTTTGTGGTACTATGTTTTTCCTTATTCCAGCGCAGATGCCATCATCAGGAATAGTGGTTGTATTATTAGCTACGCATATCTGACAAAGTGTATGAGCATGCCGAATGACTGAAGTGGCGAATTGAATACAAGAACCAGTGGTATGGCTGCAGCGCTGCTCATATGATCTTCGGTAAGTGGCCTGATTTAATCCGAAAAGTTCCGCTCTTCAGCAACACTGCCACGTGGAGTGAAATTTGGTTCCTAACCAAGCGAGGAAAAATACACCTTACTCTCAGAAAGGAAGCTATAAGAGAAGAATGTTGAATATCTCCATAAGAGACCAATAACAGATTAACGGGTTCATCAGATAGCAGGAATTAAGAATGTAAAGCAGGAAACAGAAAATAACAAAATCTCGGCATTCATTCAAGTGACAGCAAATGAACATCCGCATTATCTGAGTGGCTTTCAAAGAATGTGCTGCATG